ATTACAAATCTTGAACTTACTTCATCATATCTTGTACACAATGGCATTGATTAGAATAAAACTATTACTTCTCTCTTATGAAGAATTTATTATGACCTACTTATCTCATACATTTATAACAATTTCAATAGCTATGCTACACAAGTCTCTTGGCTAACTAACCTAAAACACCAAACATATAATAAGCTTAGCTTATACTGCTCAGTTCTTGCCTACATAAATAATACTCTTTGAATTGTATCTTCACAACAAGAACTATTACAAATCCTTTCTGCAATTGAATCATTCTTTAGCATGACTAATATACAAATCAATCTTTTCAAATCTGTACTTACAACCAATAATAAACAAACTAACTATATCTCTATTATATACAACAACCATCCTCTCAACCTTTATCTACTAAATGAACTATTCAAATTTCTCAGATGTTGGTTTACACTTAATAACAAACAAGTCAAATAAACTAAACTTATCACTGCAGAATCATTATACCTTATTAAAATCACAAGTACTAAACAAATTACTGATATACATATACATTATATTATTAACACTGTCATTATTCTCACAATCAAATATCAACTACACAACATAGTTCTTAATCAATACACATGTAACAAAATGCTCACAAGTCATATAGGACTTGTTAAAAATAAAGCCAAACTTAGTCGCACAATTCCCACCAGCACATTACTTCACCTTTAGCTATATAATATCCAAAACATATAGGATATTTAACTACAACATCATATTACAAACTTTACCAAGAGACTTAATTCTTCTGATCTATTAGAAATAAGTACTTGCATTAGGCTCCAGCAACTTCAGAACAACCTGTGATTATTTATTAGTATTCTAATATATGATAATTCTATTATTGATGAGTCTAACAAACATACTATTAATTTTAAAATCATCAAACTCTTTAATCATCTTGGTATTACATTTTCATCAAACCCATTATATATTATTTCATAGACTGTTCAAAAAGGATTCATTTTACTTGAATCATTACTTTTATCATATTCAAAATACTCAACCTTCAAAATCAACTTAGATACTATTGTATTCTTTACTTAAACCAACTAACTATATTTGACAACTTATGTCTTTTAGACTAGAAACACATATCTATATATATAAACAAAATTCATAAAGACAAATAACCACTCTGGTTTAATTATCTAAAAGACCAAACTACAAGTCATTCATACAATCACACTCTCTACTAATATTTACATTTATTCAATACAAACTACTACAGTTATTCAACTAGACACTTTTTTTGAAAGAAAAACCATGACTTATTACAATATTTGATAACCAAATTATTATTGACAAAGCCAGAGGACAGCCCTCTTCTTCAGGAACCATTCTTATTACTTACTGGTAATATCATATTGAACAACAATTTACTTATCTATATCTACTTTCATCTATTCAATCACAAATATGCCCAGGTTGTTCTCTTAATTCTTATACAATTGCCAACAAATAACAATCAATATTTCTATTAATCTCTTTTCGAAATTTTTTGGTCAAGTCAATACATACAACAAAACCTTTAACTTCAATGTTAACTACCTTGATCTTATGTACTCTATTGCAATTTGACATTCTATTTAAATTCCTAACCTCACTAATCTCAACATTATGACTTACTTAATTCTAATAATATTTAAACCCAGTACTTTAACAAACAACCTTCAACAAATTGTCAACTACAATGCATAACTATCAGAACTCTATTTTATACAGATAGCTCTATTATCAATCTGGGTACCTCACAATGCTCTATAGGCATCAGATGGATTCAAATTTTAAACAACAATATACTGCATACCTTCCAAGCCCAAATAAGATACTGGCCTTACTCATTTAAAGCTAAGCTCACTGCTATCTTAATAGCCCTTATTACTGTTTCTAAAAATTGTATTATATACATATACACTAATTTACAATCTGTAATCTCTAAATATTACAGACTTTCAAACTCAATTCATAATTTACTTTATACATATACACTATATTTTTTATTATGAAATACATTTATTAATTTTGTCAAATCATACAACATTCATATTATTTTTTACAAAATTACTGCTCATCAGGATAATCAGTACAATAACCTTACAGACCAACTTGCATGCAATCATTACAATCTGTCATATCTTATCTTTATGTTCTACAATATCTACAATTCTGTATATACTTTAAATTTTGAAAACTTCTCCTTAGAATTACCTATTTGTTATAGTATCTGTTATGTATATATTTATGCATTATGGATTATACAAAACTGTTTTCAAAAATGTTACAAAATCCTTAACCAAGTTAATTGGCAAGTTACCTGACTATACATCAACAATAATCAAAAAATCTCAAACTTCTCACACAACTTTCAGTTTTTTTACTTTTAAATCCTTTAGAATCAAAATTCTATTAGATGATCTTTCTACTCCACACATTTTACACAAATGATCTTATTCACACTCACCTACCTGTCACCAATGTTATCAAATTAGTTTTTATCTTCACTGGACAATCAGTCCATCTAATCAATTGCTATACAGCCTTATAGATATTTCATTACAACATACTTTAAATACTAAAACACTCAACACTACTTCAAATACTATAACTAATTTATACAACCAAATTAAGCTGTTAAGTAGTATGACTATTAACAGCATATCAGATTTACTTTCAATCTTTTCAATTCTAATGAGTCTAATACCAAATGAACTTATTAACATTATTGCAAATCTGCATCCAAAAAAGTGGTTACAATACTTATTAATAAGTTTTTACTTCATCTTAACTAACAAATCTATCACAAAATCTGGATCCTATATTGTATCTCAAGATCTACAACTCAAACTCCTGAATATAATACATCTTCAAATACTGCCTCACTTTCATCACATTTTCTCTTACTCAATTCTATTAGTTCAAAAATAAACTCCTGATATATTCTATGAATTAAATATCAAACTAATTTCTTATACATAATTACTAACACTTAAATCTAGATGAACCTTGGCCACTCTAGTTGGTTTAGGTTACAGATAAATTAAACTAAACTTCTATTCTTTTAATAATATTTTAAAAGCAGAATTGTACTCTATGTAAAATCTCAATTAAATATTCAATAAAGATAGAAGCATGGCCTCACCATTAATATTAAAAAAAAAAAAATTATTCTATTTATAAATATTAAAGCATATAAGCACAATGTTGTAATTACGCTCACCTCTATATATGATTAACAAGAAAAAATAATTTAAACTTATTATTTTTCAAATCATTTATTATTGCATATTATAAATAACAAACATCGTAATGAATCAATTAACATTGCAAAAATAGTATCAGTCAGAATTCCAATTTTCATTATGCTAATTTATTGAAATCGGCATGAAAGTAAATTAAAACATAATATAAAACAAGATATCATGATGTAAAATAAAGTTATTCATATGTGATTTTTAAGATTACTAACTTATCCTTGAACATCTTTCGTTGCACTTCTAAATCATGAGAATCATATGAGTAGATGGTCATCGGTATGAGTGTCATCATTAAATTTATTAATTAATACGTATTGTCTTTATTAAATAAATTATTTTATTTATAAATATTAGGGCATGTAAGCATAATGCTATAATTAGTTGTAATTATAATGAATTATAACAAATAATGGCATAATTCATTATAATTACAACCAAGTATGATATTGTGCTCATCTCTACATATGATTAACACCAAGAAAAAATAATTTAAACTTACTATTTTCAAATCACTTATTATTGTGTAATAACATCACTAAAATAGTATCGGTCAGGATTTTGACCAGTCAGTCACAAACCTATGATTGACCGATATCGGTTATGGTTATGACCGGTCATAACCGTAACCGACCCACCCCTAGTCATAAGATGTGTTAAAATTATTCTTATTGAGCAATAATTATTATTAACATTTCTGTGTTTTATTTTTTAATAAAAAATGCAAAATTTTAACCGTATTCATGCCTGCTTAAGTTTTATTGGTTATCTATAGTATATTGAATCTTTCATGAACTGACTTTTTACCAGTATTCAACATAATTTTTCATATTGTTCGGTACGTTCATAAATACTAACCTATTCATTTTGGTTTTTTTATAATCATGCTAGTCATCCATACTGTTTAATTAATCATTAATACACGGTCTTCTGAACAATGTAATTTGGTGATTAATACCCAAATAAGTTGGCTAATGTTTTTGAAGGCGGAAATCTTCCATTTGGTCTTGTAAAGTGATGACAACACAAAGCGTTAATAAATTAAAAGGATTTTCTTTAAGGTTTGCAATGAAATCAGGAGTTGATAGTAAAAGAGGTTCAAGATAAAAATTTATGCTCTATAATGAATTTGACTTTTAGTTGAAAGTTTCGCCCAAATAAAATTCAAAATATACATTAATATCATTATTTTATTTTTAAAATATTGTTAGACCCAGAACACGTGATCCACAGATGGCTGATTTCGTCATGGGATCTTCGCCATACGACCATCTTCCCCAGTATCGCCAGAAAAAATTTTACTGTCACGTGAGATACGACAAAATTCTTTAAGTTCGTTTATGCTAGGGTTAATGCTATGTTAGGATTAGAATTTAGAGGTTCTAATAGTAAAATAGTTCAAGGAAAACTTTTTATTAATGCGCAGAAGGTGGTTTATTATGTAGATTTTGAGTTATAAGCGATTTTAGACTAAACGAACGTTTGTTTTGCATTTTCTGATCGCGTAACGTTACACTAAATCATGTTTCATTATTGGCTCATTTCGTAGATCATCACGTGACAGTAAAATTGCATAGTAATTTTTCTGCCGATCCTGGGGTAGTTTGAGTCTGGACACTAGCATATCACCCTTTACAGAATAATATAGTGTCCTTCGCTACGCTCCGGACAAACAAATGAAATAAGGAAATAAGACTTACTAGCAGGTACCAGTGAATTCTCTTTTTCGCATTCCTTGATCACCCCTTTCAGTATGTCCTTTGTCAAATAAAAAACGCACCTTTTCTTTTAAAGCTACATAAGCTTTTTGATCTATTATCTTTTTCGCTTTTAAAAAATTCTTGGCCCAAGTATTGTCAAGATCATGCCAATTATCCGAAGAAGCTGATGTAACAAGACTTATTAGTGAAATTAGCACTTTGCGAAATAAGTAAAAGATTACAAAGTAAAAAAAAACTTACCATCATAACCAAGATATTTTAATGCCTCTTGTTCTGCAACCCTTTCATTCTTTTTTTCGGTATTGACAGCCTTTCGTTTCATTATTGAAATAAATTGAAGACGCATTAAAGCAATTTTGAATGAAGATATCTTGACAACCACCTGACCAAACTCGGTGAATATTTTTATTTGAATTCTATGGACACATAGAATTCAAATAAAAAAATTTCATCGAATTTGATCAGGTTGTTGTCGAGATATCTTCATTCAAAGTTTTAAAAATTTTATTCTTATTCGGAGGTACGAATACGGGTATGAATACTAGCCCCAAATATATTTACATTAGGATTTTTGATATCAATTGATATAGATTCAAAGTTGATATAGCTCCGGAAGTTTTGTTTGAAAAATCATATACTATAGTTACTTATTTGGTATGATCATTATATGGAATACAAATTTTTAACGAAATATTTAGATCAAAACTTCAAATGCAAATAAAAAAATAGCATTTAGCGAATTAAGTCCGTCACTGCAAAGTTTACAATATACTTAAAGAATTTGGTATCTTCATTCTCTGTTGAGATATTATTAGTTTACGTGACCTTGAAGACACATATCTAATAATGGGACCAATTATTTGAAAATGGAAACAAACACGCACTAGCGCTAGCAAAACGGTTTTTAATAATTACGTATGTACGCATGCATATGCAATATATGTCGATATTTGGTTCTTAATTCATCAAAATCTAAAAAAAGTAATGTGCTTGAAACGAAAAAAAAACAAAAGACAATACAAAAAAAGTTCTTATTTAATTGAAATCATAATTTTAAATAAAACTACTGTATCAATTAGAAAGTTTTAAATCATGTTAAAAAAGAACAATAGTCGCAAAAATGTACATATATGTACCGACGGTGAAAGAAAAAAAAATTATAAAAACAAATAGACAATATATATAAATTTCTGAAATGATTGAAAATATCAAACTTGAGAATTTCGCATCGATCCTAGAAAACAGAGAAATTTTAGGGAATCTCGATAACAAGTTAATACCAGGCAAAGAAATTGATAAACAACCCACCTCCGAACTTCTTAAAGAATTATCTAATCGCAAACCTTGTTGTGATAATGAAGCGTTCAGTGCGGTTGTACACTTTAACGAAATAATCTTTATCAATAAGCACGCCAATCAAAATGGAAATATTGCAAAACTTCCAAACCATCTTCGTTTTACATCCAAACATATTAATGCCATGCTTCTACCAAAAGTTCTTTTCCAAGTCTTTAAGTTCACACCTTTACAAATCGAAGAAATTCTATTTAGAAATAAATTATTTGATAGATTTAGGTTTGAATTACTCAAACTAGAATTAATTCTCGATCATCATAAAATGTATGAAACGGAAATATTAAAAGAGCAAAAAGAAATTACATCAAACTTGTTTTATGGTGTTTTTGACGAATATGTATGGTCAAAAATCTTTCCTAAGAACGCATTTTCAAGTAATTCATATGATTTAGGAAGATGTGTTGGGAAATTGAACAATTTGGAAAAAAGTAGGAAAAGAATGGCAACAATTGCAAAGAAAAAAGCAGCTTGGCCAAGAGTTTATCGCTTCATTCCTTATAAAATACCAAGTTACACTTGATAATATTCATTTTAACGTTGTAGATTTATCGTAAATAATTTCATTACTGATATTTGTATAAATTTTTGCCATTACGCTTCACATTCCAACCTTTAAAAGATTCCTTCATATATCATTTGATTATGTAATTTATTTCAAATTTGAACTCGTCTTCAATATATAGATTGTCTTCTTGATAGATGTTTTCATACAATTCATTACCGTAAATAATAAATTGGATTAATTCTTACTACATTCTGACCATGTTGCATAAGAACATTCACAAGTTGAAAGATAATGTAATATTTTTTTTGTGCATTTAAGTTATACATTATGATAAATTACTAAAATTGTCAGCGTTATCGTTTATTTAGTTCCTGATTCCTTTATTTGAGATAAACAATCTATGATCAAAGGACATATCATTGGCAGTAATAAACGAACAATAAAAAAATTGTAGTTTTTTACAATATCGATATGATTGGGCTTTATAATGCATTAACAAAACTCCTTGATATTTGACCCGGAAATCCTTAAGAAGGTAATTCACTATCCCTTAAAGTTGTTTTGGAGATAATCATTTCATGATTCATCGAGAGTTCCAACGATAGTTATAACGATAAGATTACATATTACAACTTTACATTGGTAATATTACCAGAGCAATACGAAGTAATATAAGATTATTTGTCTCAGGTTATTACAAAACGCACTTTTAGGATAAAAAAATTCAAAAATAGGATTGCAACGCTTCTTTCTTTAACTGAAGTAACTTTACTTTGGGTCTAACAAAAAACACATTTGTTTAAATATTGACAACTAGAGCTGGTCCTTGAGTTGACCCAACTCAAGCCTGCTCCAAGTCCACGTCTTTGTTCCAAATTGTGATCAGGAGGTATTCACATGATTGGTCAATTTATGTCGAGATTTGATTATTACGGCGGCGGGGTACCTGGTTATCCTTATGTCAAGAAAATCCCGAGCTGCCGGCCAAAAAAGTATGTGTCGTAGTATTTCAAAAATTCCCTATGTATCTAACATTAAAAATTATGTCCTACAAGTAAAACTTTTACTTAGAGGTCGGAAGTTAGTTATCATAGTAAATTTTTGTGTTTTTCGCGTTTGTTTTGTTACAGTAATATGTTTTATCAAAAAAAATGTGATATCGGGCTTTCAAGCTTACCATTGATTATTTAGCTCATGAAAAATCTGATTAGTAATGTATCATCGATCAGATTTTTTATAGGCTGAATGATAAACTCAAAAGCCCGCTATTCATATCAGAGTCCCCGGATTTTTCTAGCATCTAAGATAGCACAAGCAATATCAACGAAAACAATCAAACTAAACTCGGTAAAATTTTTTTGTTTTGTATTCTATAAACCAATTTGGCTGGATTTGGATATGTAGTTGTCGTAATATTGCTAGTGCTATTTTAGCTGCTAGAAAAATCCAAGGGCTCTGATTCATATGATTGAAGCTGTAGATTGCAGCGATAAAAATTCTTGTATATATAAATCTCTCGTCACTTTAAAAAATAAAATAAAAATATCTCCTAAAAGTATCAAGTATGTTGAATATTAATGTTCTTTCAGTTATTTTTTAAACTGTTTATTTATATTTGAAAATGTGTCTAATTGTTTTAAACAGAACATCATCTCAAGGACAGCTCAGTAGTTAGGTTTGAACTTATTTTTTTTTTTAATTCATTGTCATAAGTATAGGGTCCGTAATGGGCCGGGTCTTTATAAACCTAATAAAAATATTTTTAAACCCAATTATAACTAGGTGGATCGGTCTAGCCGGGCTTAAAGTAGGCCCAACCCAGCCCGTTTGGCCCGCATATATAGAACCAATAAATTAAAAATAATTGTAAATCTGGATTTAAAAGCTCTTTAATACATCTTATAAGATTTCTATTATATGCATAAGTGCAAACTTTATGTATTATACATCAAATTTTAAATATTATATTTTTAAACTTTGAAAAATATCTTAATATATGTGGATGATCATTTGAGCACTGCTAAGAAGAAATGTACTGGTAATTTAAGTATATTATTGATCAATTATCAGATTTAACAATAATGTATATTGGGATTTAAATTATATATCATAACACAAAGCTTCTAAAAAATCATTCTTTTGGCAGCATTTAGTTGATAATTATAGTAAATTGAAAAATATAATAAAATCAAAGAAATTGAATATTTATATTTTTTATTATTATGAAATTTAATCATATTATAATTTATATTCTTTTTAATAATATTAGTAAAGGGGTGTGGTAATCTAGTAAAGTGGATAGGTTGTCAACTTTCAAGTGGCAGGTTTAGAGTTCAAATCTCAGTAACAGTAAAAATTTGCAATTCTTTCTGTGTTATGGTTAATTGTTTTTTGTGATTGGTTAGAATAAGATATCTATAATCTGTGTCATACCAGCATGACTGGAAGGTCTAGGCACTTATACAATGTTGTATAAGGGAATACAAACCGGTACTCACCTTACAGTACTCTATTACACCTATCTCTTAAAAAACTTAATCATATTATTAAACTTATTAAAAAACTTACTCAATATTCCAATACCTCCTATATTAATTAAAATATCTCTCAAATTAATAAACAGTTACAATGTAACCTTTAATTACTTATTTTTCTTAATTCAATTTTTATTTAAACTTAGTTTTAATAAGCTTACTTAATCTGAAAACAATTTTTTCATATTTACTATCTTGAAAACTCTCTCTTATTTTGACAACAAATTAACCAAGTTATTAACAAAAAATATATTAATTTTAAAACACATCTTATTTAGATTATAAACAGTATTTTCAATCACTATCATCAACCTATTCATTTTTCTAATATAAAATTTTCTCAAGGATTTATTACTAATCACTAATTATTAAACAACATATTTAATCTTATTTTCAAGACTAGACTATATATAAACCTATTAATCAAACTCTTTTTAATAATTTTTAGCAACAACATTATCTCCTATTCTCTCATATTAATCCAACTTGGTATTATTTTCTTAATTTCCTTATTATTAATAATAAATTTCTTAAAACTCTCTCTCAACTATCTAATAACAAAGGCTATGGTCCTATAGGCATTAGTTATAAAATGCTTAAACATATTAGGCTTAAATGGATTTCTGATATTATTGCTCTTTTTAATTACTACTTTATTGAAAACAGAATTCTCAAACAATGAAAACATAGTTGCATTTATCTTATTTCTAAACAAAATATTTTTGATATTAATCTTAATCTTACTTAAGTTATTAGTCTTGTTGAACATATTTATAAGTTTTATATCAAAATTCTTATCAATCAATTTAGTTCTATATTTTTAACTTATTCTATCCTTTTATCTTTTAATTATGTTGCTTTTCTTAACAACAGTATTTCAATTTCTATTCATATTCTTAACAACCTTATTAAAAATACTTCTTATAACCATAAGAACATTTGATTATTCTTACAAGATATAAGTAAAGTCTATAATTTTTTTTTTAAATATTAAGGTGAGTACATGCGACCCAGGATTTTACTGATAGTATAAGTTAGCTAGCATCTGTACATATACAGACACAGAGACAATTACAAAAAGAGTATACAACTAGTCACTTGTACAACTTTAGTTATTGTCTAATTTAAGTAGTCTGCCTGAAGGTTCTACACTAGTTGCTATACTTAAAACCCACCTGTAGATTCTCTATTTAAACACTCTGATCTTGTATTTACCACACTCTACTAGCGACTCTAATAAACCAGTGAAGATATGCCATGGTCACTAAGTTATGTTTAACTTTGTTCTAAACCTACTAGTACATTCTGTATCCTATACTTACAGCTCACTCAGTCACACTCTGGCCTAAACCATTACTTGCAGTTAGAGCTAACCATTAAATCACTTTTACCCTTGTAAGGTTCACCCAAAACCTCAATACCTATCTTTCCAACATCCTCTCTATCATCCTTTACTAACTGCTACTCAGGACTGACAGGACTTCCTAGACTTCTAATCCAGATGGCCCGATATGTTATATCTTAGTATCCTTTTCCTTCAGCGATTCTGGTGGCCTGGTTGGTCATATGCTCCTCTACACATCTTGCTATCCAGTTTATCTGTCTATCCCTTTAGGAGTGTTTCATGGGCTTCCATCAGTCTGACAGCACCATCAAAAGTTTTGTACTACCTTCTTACTCAGGATTTCCAAATAGGTTTCTGACTTTTCAGTTCCTTTGCTTTCCATGCCCAGTAGTCTTATCATGGGTTTGCACCAAAGTCTTATGCAACACCAGTTATTAACATTCCTCTATGTGGGTGTAATGTTATACTTAGCATAGATGCTCTGAGCTCCTATTCGAGATAGTGCAACAAAGGTTACAGATACACCAATCCAATAATCAACAGAAACAGTTACTATAACACAAACCTATTTTCCAAAATTCGTCGTTCATGGGATTTGAACTCTAGACCTGCCACTTGGAGGTTGGCAACCTGACCACTTCACTAGGTTGCCACACCCCTAGTAAAGCTTATAATTCTGTTAACTTCATTCTCTTTAAACATGTATTTTCTCATTTTTTATTTCTTTTATCTACTATTAACATTCTCTCTGACCTCTTTACCAGTCATTACAATCAAGTTATAACTAATCTTGGTTTAACTTCATCCTATCCAGTTCACAATGATATTGACCAAGATAAAACTATTACTTTATTATTATAGTGTATTTATTATGATTTATTTATCTCATATATATACTTAAACATTCCTAGTTACAAATTACAATTCTCTTGGACTACTAATCTTAAACTTCAAACATCTAAATTATTACAAAAACAATGCTCTATCTTGGCTTATATGGATGATATTCTTTGAATTGCTTTATTACAATCTAAACTATTACATATATTATCTATAGTTGAATCTTTCTATATTATGACCAATATTTAAGTCAACCCTTCAAAATTCATTTTGGTTACCAACAATTCTTTATCTTATTATACATCTATCTCTTATAATAACCAACTTTTTCTTCTTTATTCTTCTAAAATATCTTTCAAGTTTTTAGGCTGTTGGTTCACTTTAAACAACAAATAATCTAAATAAATAAAACTACTTATCTTTAAATCTTCTCAACTAATTTAAATTGCTAAAACCAAACATATTACTGACTCACATGCTCACTATATTATTAATACAGTGATTATTTCTACTTTTGAATATTGACTTTAAAATATTGTAATCAATTAATCAACTTGCAACAAAATCTTTATTCAATATATTGGTCTTGTCAAACTTAAAGCCAAACTTTGTCATACAATATTTACTAGTACTCTTTTATATCTACAAATTTATAACATCAAACACATTTGGGACATTTAACTGCAATATTATATTCCTAATCTTCTTAAATAACTTAATAATTCTAACCTATTAGGTACATCTATTTATATTCGAATCTAACAATTACAAAACAATCTTTGGTCTTCAATTAGCATTTTCTCTTATTTCAATTTAATTATTAATAGTCCTAACCACTTAATCACAAACTTTAAAATTATACAGCTTATTAAACATATTGGTTAAATATTCTTTTTTTTTTTTTTTTTTTGAAGTTAAGGTGAGGTCATGCCTCAGGTCTGTTTATTCGAACATATTGTTACAGTTTG